ATAATGTGCTTAATATATTAAGTAATCAAGTAGAAAATTTAGATTTATTTAAAGGCAGCCTGCCTTTAACAAAAGTTGGGCAGTATTACAGGAAAAATGGATCAAACATCTATGGTACTGAGATAAAGAGCATGAAATAAAGTAGCTTTTGGTGAGCAAAATTAATGTATACAACTTTTTTATAACAATGGAGCCTACACCTGGTTAGGTAAACTTGAAGCATGCTATAGCTAAACTTGAATAATTTTAGAGTACTAAACTCTATTCATTTCAGCATTCAAAGTTTTTCTTCAATGCAGTCTCATTAGAACTATATACCTGAAGACCAAGGTCTACTGTACAGTTTACTTTTAAAAATAATCTTAAGTAGCAAAGCTTTAGCAATCTGGCACTTCTCAACTTTAATGGAAACTGAACGTATTTAATACTGTTTAGCTTTACAAACAGAAAAAACTACCATAACCATTTTCCTTTCTCCCAATAAGAAAACATACATCTTTTTATGTTCAAATTCTGAACAATTAGAAATTTTCTAAAATGCACATATTCAGAATTTGTAGTGAACAATTTATGTATCTCCATCACTTGTATTTATTTTTCAATAAATATCATGATCACACTGAAAATTTTTTCAACTTTCTTTTGGGGCTTATGGATTAGTGAATGTTTACTGCATTGAAAACAATCTAATGACCAGTCATATGCTGATAAGAAAAATATTGCAAATGAGGGAAACCATGGGAGCTATACATGTGTAGGACAAGCATAAAGACCTAAAGCTTTTTTTTTTTATTGTGAACATACTGTACAGAGGGGTTACAATTACATGGGCAAGATAATGAGTACATTTCTTATCAAGCATTGCAGCCTCCTCCTTTGTTTACCCTTCACATCCCTTCCCAGCCTCCCGCCACCCCCCCCCCACTGAATCCTCCCCCCCACCACCAAAGTTGTAAAGTTCGTTTTCCACATGACAACTTGTACTTCTCATTGTTGTAACGGGTCCACAGTTATCCTTAAACGACTTGTTTTTCCCCACAAATTGTACCGACCTCAAATATAGTGAAAGCAGGGGTTATACTGTGGGGGAGGGACATACAAAGCAACAAAGAAATAATCTTATGAATACGTTAGAAACAAATGCATGAAAGAAAAAAAGAAAAAAAAGGAATTTACAACTTTGGCGCGGGGGAAGGGGGGCAGGGGGAGAAGAGAGAAGGGGGGAGATGGTAAGGGGAAGCAAAGGAGGCGGTAACAATGCCTGATAAGAAATAGACTCATTACCTTACCCATGTAATTGTAACTCCTTTGTACAGTATTTTAACAATAAAAAAAAGAATTGTGAGAAAAAAAGGCCTAAAGCTATGTACATATACCAGATAATATAATGTTAAGTGAAATGAACACCAAGATAGGGACACAAATACCTTTTTGCTTTCTTGCTAACATATTTATAATGTACCATATGATTTTTTTGTTTCTTTGTATGTTCCTCTCCCATGGTATAACCCCTGTTTTCACTGTATTTGATGTTGGTGCTCTGCATCTTGTATATACACTTCTCTAATTCAGGGAGGGTAAGGGAAAAAATAAAATGCTTAAATAAGGATACCCACTGTAACAATGAGATGTACAAGATACTATGTTGAAAATGAACTTTACAACTTTGGTGGTGGTGGTAGAGGTAGTTGTGGAAATGGGAGGGAAGGGATGGTGGAGGAAAACAAAGGAGGAGGCAACAATCTCAATAGGAAATGTACTCATTACCTTGTTCGTGTAACTGTAACCCCTCTGAACACCATTTTTACAACAAAAAAATGTACAAAAGAAAAAGAAAAATACAACGAAAGTAATGCCTTCAGTGTATCAACATTTTCTCACTTTTTTACTGTACTTTCTTTTACTGTACTTTCTATTTAAAATAAATATGATCTTTAATAACTTTAAATCATTTTTCACATAAGACATGTTTTTTAAAAAAGAAAAAAGATTGTAGCAGAGGAAATTCAGGGAGTTTTTCTAATGAAGGAGATATTAAAAGTGAAAATTAGAAGGAAAGTGAAGGTTAAGGTCTTACAACAAGGGGCAGAAGATATTTCAAAATGAGAAAATAGTAGAAGGTAAAAGAGCAATTATGAAGGAGCAAAGATAGGAGGGCTGTGGTTGGTTCAAGGCTATAACATTTCACAAGACTCCACTCAAACAAAACTGGGCACAACGGTATGCACCTGTTACTCCAGCTATGACACAAGGCAAAATAGATGAAGATAGTGGGGTACACCAGTCATCCTAAAGGACTGAACAAATCCAAGCAGACAGATCACAGCCTAGGCCAGCTCAGATATAAAATGAGACCATACCTCAAAAATAACCAACACAAAAGGGGCTGGAAGCTTGTATCAAATGATGAGTGCCAAGTGTGAAACCCTGGGTACAATCCCCAGTATCTGTCACCCTCTCAAGACATGGATGAAGAAATGAGCTGACTAAATTTAACTTCTAGAAAGTATAAATCAAAAATGGAAATTTAGAAATATGAAGAGATGTGTCCACAAATGAACTTACTATAGTGAAAACTATGCCAGTATTAATACATAATAGACTTCTTTCCTAAGGTAAACAATTAAATTGAATTAATAAACCACTTCAAACTTAACAATGAAACAAATATTCCAAATATGACAAAGATGGGTATAGAACAAACACTGTATGAATGAGACGTGCCCTCTCCCATCCCTGTCTTTTGTGTTTAGTTTTATATTAGAAAATATACATTTACTTTTGTCAATAGAATGTGAAAAATAGATAAAGTGCTATGATTTTGATAGTCACTTAGGACTAACTTAATTAGGAACATGAATGAAGATAAATACAGGAGTGGAAAATACAGAAAATACAAAACAGAATATTTTAAATATAAAAAATATAGACTATGCCCTTTTTATATTAGTAATCATTGAAATAAACAGTCCATACTAAAGTAAAGCAAGGCCCACCCAAACTGAAGGAGAAAGAATCATTTACATATGTAATGATTAAACACAGTACATCGACTGAATTTCAGTACAGGTGATGTCGAAGGATACAGGAAGAGAGACAAAAAGATGCAGTTCCAAAAAGAACAAGGTAGGTATCATGGTGGCACATCCTTGGAATCACCACTTGGAGAACTGATTCAAAAGGATCACGAGTTTGAGGTCAGCCTAGACTACACAACAAGACTAATCTTATCTGAAAAAAACTAAAATGCACAAAAGAATCTTTTTAGACTAGCAACATGTACTACTAGGCTGGAAAACATGGCTTATGGAAAGGAGTAAAATGTAAGCCTCACTTTAATTCTTCCCTAAGGCTATTTCAATACGGTTATTCTATAATCAGAATATAACCAATTCATGGCATATAATTCAGGTGGAAATGAGCAAGCTTCTTACATGTAAAGCAGAAGTTATTTTGTCATTGAATAATGTTATGTTAAAAATGATAGCATATATTATCAAAAACTACTGAAGAGTCTTTAACTGTGAGATTTTATACTGCTTGCTTACCCTAACAATCTTATAGGAAACTCCTGGGTCAGAAACAAAAAACTTTTTAATCAGGAGACATCAGGGAGCATGAGCTTCATGTAATCATCTGTTCCTCATGCTCTTCAGATCTCAAAGAAGCAATGTGGATAGGCCTGGAGAGCCCCCACAGCTAAGCAGCCTCAAACTTAGCAAATTCAGTTTTATAAGGGACTGCCAGGAAACTTGTCATTCTTTTTTATTTTTTTTGGAGTCATAAACCGATTTATTTAATGGTAACTCCTTTGTACAGCTACTTGAAGATAGTACTTTTTAATGATTTAAGGATAGGAAAACAACACATTCCTATAGTCACACTTCACAAGGTTAGAAACTTGTCATTCTTTGCCACCTGAGGGAAAAGGAGGAGCACTATCTTTATTCTCTTGGACAAACAAATCTGTCCATTGCTTTGGAGGGAGATATGATCTCTATCTTTGAAGCCTGTTCTCTATACAAATATCCCTGAAAAGAGAGTCCAGGACAAAAGCTGTGAATACCTTTCATCAAAGACATGCAGAAATGCAAGAGTCCCAAGGGAAATGGTCTTTTAGCACATTATAAGTTCTTTATGCTATCATATATTCTTTATGTTATTTTTAACAAAGTAATACAATCTGACTATTTTACTAAAATGCCAAAGTGGAATATAGAAATTTCAGCTTTTCCTTAGGAAAATAAAATAGCTGTCTAGTTAACAGATTAAACAAATATGCTTATGCATTAAACATATGCATTTTATTGAAAATAAGACTTAAATATGTTACAGATGAGTAAAACATGTAGTTGTAATAAAACATTCACTAAAGTGAAAAATAACATTTAAATGTCCCTACTAGGAATAATGCATGGTCTCCAGAAGGATTATGAGTCCTAGTTCTTTAATAAGTCAAAGGTAAGTAGGCTAGATCCAAGTTCTTTGGCCCAAAGTCAATCTTCTTCATATAAATAAACACGAAAAGTAACACTTATTTCTCCTGACACAGTGAAATATTCAATCTCTTAAAAACATTTTTAAGACCGGGATCGGGTGGCTCACGCCTGTAATCCTAGCTCTTCCTGCCAACCTGGGCAGGAAAGTCTATGAGACTCTTATCTCTAATTAACCACCAGAAAACCAGAAGTGGCGCTGTAATAGAGCACTCGCCTTGAGCTGAAGAGCTGAGGGACAGCGCCCAGGCCGAGTTCAAGCCCCACACTCACAAAAAATTAAAATTTGGCATGAATTTGTTTGCCTATACAATGACTCATTACAAAATATGAAGGTCATGGAAAGGACATATTTATATAAAGGCTAAAACTGGTGCTTAAAATAAGCAAGTCTAAAGATGTAAATACTTTTTGTTAATCTTTATAGAATTTCCATGTTTTCAGTAACTTCACTGTGAGTACTTCAAATTGAAAATTACAGGTAATAGAATGTATATGACATACCTCTCCCAGAGCTTCATATCTTTTCTGGTTCCATCTATGCAAGTCTTCCCGGTAGTTAAAAACAAATGGCTCTCCAGTTTTTATGTGTCTTAACTGCCCTCCTAGAAGATAAAAAATATTGCTATGATTATAATTACATTTAAAACAACATGGGAATACAATATGTAATGTCACTAAAATTTAAACTTCCTCCAAAACTTGTTTTTACATATTTTTTTGTGCATGTGTCAGCACTGGGGCTTGTATTCAGGGCCTTGTGCTCTTGCTCAACTTTTTTGCTCTTAGCTGGTACTCTGCAATTTGAGCTGTACCTTCTATTCAAACTTTTTCTTGTTTAATTGAAGATAAAAGTCTCACATATTTATCTGCTGACTCCAAAATGTTATACTCAAATCAGCTTCCTGAGTAGCTAGGATTATACAAATAGTAAAGTCTAGAATGATTTGAAGGAAATGAGAAGTCTGTATTGGCTAAAATAGATTCAAAAAAATTCAAGGGACATTTTTTTCAACAAGAACTTTAGATATCAAATAGAATCTAGTAAGAGACAGCTTAAGTTAACAAATTAGACCCTCTAAAATCAGGTAACTTCCTTGATAATAACTTAAGCTCTACTAACAATTCAACAGAGTAAGTCATCAAACAGCTCAGATAAAGCAAGGGAATCTGAGAAGACCTGAGAACTCTCCTCCTTTTCTCTTCTCTTACAGGGAAGAACTCTGGCTCAAAATAGATGTGATCTCAAATGAGACATATATGTTTCCTCACATACTGGTAAGTATTTTGGTTATAGAATATTTCTCTTTTATGTATCAAATATTTATAATACTTACATGGTATTCTTTAAATAAATACATCTCATATATCAAAGCCTACGTTTATTTATGAGTAGTGCTAAACCAGTCATCCAAAAATTCCATAGTATATGTCTGAGACAAGCAGAAACAATCAGATAAGTTGATGTTAGGCGAAATGAACCCCAAGATAAGAACTCAAATGTTTTTCTTTCTTGCTATTGTTTCTAACATATTTATAAGATGTTTTTTGTTGCTTTGTATGTCCCTACCCCATGGTATAACCCCTGTTTTCACTGTATTTGATGTTGGCATAATTTGGAGAGGTGAAGGGAAAAAACAAACTGTTTAGGGATACAGGTGGACCCATTGCACAATGAGATATACAAGATATTATGTTGAAAAATGAACCAACTTTACAACTTTGGTGGGGGAGGGGGGACGGGGGGACAGGGATGTGAAGGGGAAACAAAGGAGGAGGCAACAATGCTTGATAAGAAATGTATTCATTACCTTGCTCATGTAACCCCTCTGTACGGTATTTTCACAATAAAATAAACTTATTAATATTAAAATTAATAAATCTATAGACAGCCAGGCATGACTGACTCATGCCTATAATCATCAGAAGGATGAGATCTGAAAAGCGTGGTTCAAAGCCAGCCCAGGCCGGAAAAATCCATGAGACCCTTATCTCCAATAAACCTCCAAAAAAATGGAAATGGGGCTGTGGCTCAAGTGGTAGAGTGCTTGTCTCGAGCTGAAGAGCTGACAGCAGTGCCCAGGCCCAGAGTTCAAGCCCCATGACTGACAAAAAAAATAATAAATCCATAAAGACTTTCCTCATGGCAAATATGAATCTGCATTTACTAAACGATTCAATTGTTAGAATATTTACAAGAGAAAAAACAGGCCATCTGTCCTCTTCCTTTCTTCAGGAATATTCTTCCAGACACAGACCACAGGCCAATAGCTTTAATACTGCCTCCAGGCAACAACATATTACTACTTGTACATACATTGTCACAAAATACCCTTTGTGAAAACTATAAAAATTAATATCTGAGAAAACATCAAAGTTTCTAGTATCTTCTGTTTAAACTCACTTAAACACTCCAGTACCCAGAGACTAAAGTCCCAACAGCTATAATTGGCAATGTAAAAGTATAGCTATTAAAGATGACAGACCACTAATTCAGTTGATGCAAAGCAAGAGATAGAAACTACAACTCCCATCCTAACTACTTTGTAGCAACATTACCATCAACTACAATGGTAGAGTATTAATTCAATGAATCACAATTCTTTGTTTCAGATAGATACTTGCAGTATGTAGCATATTCTATCACATCCCAAATACAAAGGTTATTTTATTCAGAGCTTAGTTAATGAAATTTTAAACAAAAATTTAACATAAAAATTGAATATTTTCTTTAAAATACTGTCACAAGAAAGATTCCTAGATAATTCATTCAAAATGGCAGATGAACGGATCCAGAAAGTGTGTGTGTGTGTGTGTGTGTGTGTGTGTGTGTGTGTGTTATGACAGACCCAAAGAAACATAGACTCTGTGTGTGTGTGTGTGTGTGTGTTATGACAGACCCAAAGAAACATAGACTCTATGGTTTCTCTCATTTGTAATAATAAGTATATGCTTAGGAGAGTCCTAGCAGAGGATCACAATTGCTCATTATGTACATATGAACATATAAAATGATGCTAATCTAAATGAACTCTAAGATATTGAAACAAGTTGGGTTTGGAGGGTTTTGTTTTCATTTTTAAAGTACTGTGTGAAATTATTTCTTTTTTCTTTTGCTTTCTCCCCTTTGATCTATCCCTGTTGTCAGTTTTTTATTTTGATACCTTGTGTCTTGTATTTACCTTTATCTGATTTGGGGAAAGGAGGGGGAATAACAAAATGGTGAGGCAAAGGACAAAGAGTGAACCAATGCAACAGCAATACACATAAGACACTATGTTGCAAATGAACTTTAAAACTTGGGGGAAGGGTTGGAGGGAGAGAAAGCAGAAGAAAAATGAGAGAGGGGTAACAATGTTCAACAAGAAATGTACTCATTACCTTACTTACATAACTGTAACCCCTCTGTACATCACCTTTACAATAAAATAATTTTTTTAAAAAGATAGCAGGCCAAAAATAACATCTTTCTGTAGAACTTAGGAATTTCCATTTGGATATCAGGGAACTAAGTGCTCAGGATAAAAGTAAACTAAATCATGTTCATAACTTTACGTAACTCAACAAGTATAGAAAAACAAATTATTTTTGTCAGTGGGCCTGAGTGCTGTCCCTGAACTCTTTCGCCCCAAGCTACTGCTATACCACTTTAAGCCAAGCTCCATTTTCAGTTTTCTGGTGGTTAATTGGAGATAAGAGTTTCTTGGTCTTCCTTGTCTATCTGGCTTTGAACTGCAATCCTCAGATCTCAGCCTCCTGAATAGCTAAGATTACAGTTGTGAGCCAGCTGAATAAGTACAGAAAATTCTTACTTGGTTTTGTTCCTTAAGTAAAGGATTTTACCATATAAAGACAAGTTATTATTCCTCAAAACACCACCAGCCGGGTGCTATAATCCTACCTACTCAGGAGGCTGAGATCTGAGGATTGCAGGTTTGAAGCCAGCCAAAGCAGAAAAGTCCCTGTGAGACTCTTTATGTTTTGTTTTTATATGTTTTTTATTGTAAAAATACTGTACAGAGGGGTTATAGTTACATGAAGAAGGTAATGAGAACATTTTTTATCAAGCATTGTTGCCTCCTCCTTTGTTTTTCCCCTACTATCCCTTCCTTCCTCACCTCTCCAACTACTCCTCACCTCCTCACCCCCTCTGCCCAAGCTGTAAAGTTCATTTTCAACATTATCTCCAATTAACCACTCCAGAACTGGAAGTGAAGCTGTGACTCAAGTGGTAGAGCACAAAGAGGCTTTGGGACAGAGTTCAGGCCCTGAATTCAACCTCCACAACTGATTAAAAACAAACAAAAAAACAAAAAAACCCACCAAACAGCTGCATTTTAAGAGTAACAAATCGTATCTATTCTATGACTGCATTTATTAAATAAGGTAAACAAATTTTTAAATAATTTTTAAATAAAATATATGTAGCATATAGCACTTACTTTCATTAAAAGCATACTCAAATCCTTCAAGGGTATCAGGAAAATCAAGAGGTGGTTCATCTTTTTTCATTAGTTCATCCAAATCTATCCTAGATAGCAAATCTACAAAAAAAAATACAAAATTTACTTACATTTGTTTTCATAATTGAGGACAAACATTATAGTTTAACTTACGTTAAAGTATTATTTTGTCCTTTTATGCTAATATTATTGTTGCTTTACCTGATAATGCTATAAAATTTAAGTTCCCAAAATGTTATTTTGTGATAAAATATAGTTATCAAGCATATGAACACTCAAAATTGTAATCCTCAAAACATCACAACTCAGATACCAAAAAATCACTATGATTCAGCCATTGAGTCTTATCTTAATAACCTCTTTCTATAGTTTAAAATTTCAGATATTTTAATAGATCACTGAATCTTGAATTTGAACCAAAGAGTGGTTTATGACCTTGGCAATCATGAGGAAAATGAAGCATGTACTGCATTTTGTTAAAATAACCTTCAATTTGGATGTATTTTATATTTTCTTCCAAAAATATTTCATATTTTTCTCTGGGCTTAGAGTTCTGAGCTTTTGAAAGGATATCACTGAATTCAACTGAAATTCTTATCATGTCATGTCAAAGGGAATATGATATACACATTATATCTCTGTGGTATTCATCTTTATCATGTGATTGAGGTATCATCTGCCAGACTTTCCCACTATAAAGATAGAATTTCTCCTTCAATAACCCCTTATTTAAAGGTGACTAAATTTCTCTTTCTTTAACCTCTTATTCAAAGGTGATAACTCTGACCTTCCCTCAATAATGGAGAGAAGGAATTATGTTCTACCTCTGTAGTAAGAAACACCCCATATATTACTTAACCCTTTTGTGTGGAAAAGTCATCTCTTTCAATTTAAACAAATATTCAATCACTTGTTTGTATAATTACATACTCATGGACACTCACCATACACTGTAAGTACACAATAGTATATTAATGAATTATTGTTTCCTAGGTTGTACCAGCTATAGCCACTGCAAATATTTTCAGTTGTCTCCTGTTTCCTTTTGATATAATCTTATCTCTTTTTTTGCATTTTCTCAATTTCTATTATTATTAGCTGCCCCAAGCTTATCTTGTATCTTCTACACACCAGCTCTTGAATTATCTCACCAATAAGTATTCAATGATAGTTTTCGAGCTCACATTCAGGTGACATAAAAATTCTGTATCTTCACAATTACTACCAAAATCAGAAATTGTTTTCTAATTCAAGTTTCTAAACACAAACTCTCCTAGAATATGTCATAAGGCAAACTATTCCCTTTCCTACAAAAGTATCTCAGAAGTAACTTTATTTCTCTTACAGAGATAAAAGAAATCCATTACTATGAAATATTATCAAAATATACTGGAGAAAAGGTATTTTGTTCATCTCCATTCTCTAGTCTTTAGTCTTTCTCTGTAGAGCACAAAGGTAGGCCAGAGCACACAGCTTTATAATATTCAAACTTGTTATCAATAAACCTCACAAAAATACAGAAATTCCCAACATAGAAATGTTCACAAATTCTACTAAAACAGAAATGACACATAATATATGTGCTGAGCCATAAAAGCTACATCTGCTACCAATTCCACACTTATTAATAAAGTTCTAAATACATGTAAATGTTTACAAAGCATAGTAAAGATACATATTTCCAATAAATATACTGGCTTATAATGGCTTAAAAAGATTCACTTTTCTCCTTCTAATGAATTAATATTCTGTGGTAAAATTAAATTCTTTCCCTTCACAGTTATCTTCTACAACTCAAAACTCAGAAGCCTTTTAAATTAGATACCCAGAAAACATCTAATACATGAACAGATGTGTTATGTCTAAAAGCCATTTTCTGTTTCTGCCAGCTTAAAACACAGCCTTATATCTACATACCACTTTAAATATTTCAAAGCACTTTCACAAACATTACCTCTTTTGATCAGCACAACCCTATGAAACAGTAACAAGCATTATCAGCCTTACTATCTTTAAACAAGAAAATAGGCTGAAAGAAGTGAAATGACTTCTCCAAATTATACCTTAACAGTGAGAATTATAAACACGTCTTTCACAACCTCATTGCTCCTTCAAAACCAACACATTGATTCTATATGCCACAACAACCTAATAACGTTCCATACCCCCATTTTCTCCCATTACAAAGAATGAATGATTATAAACACAAAACTATGTTTTTGTTTTGTTCAAAATGTTCTTTTGACATAAGGAGAAAAATAAAAAAGTTATTTCTCAATTTTTCCTGTCAAGAATCTGATACAGATATTTTTAATTTTTCTAGCATTGAAAGGACACAGAAAAGAACTGTAAGAAAACATTTTTCTGCAAAAGGAAAGCCATACTGTAAAGTTGCATTTTACTCTGAAACTGTGATTCAAAGCAGTCCATTATGCAAAAATCAAGCACAATGTAAGATTTACATTAAAAATCCCTTCACTCACCTATGAAATATAGTAGATTTGAATTTATCTTAACCTAAATATGCATTAGATATAACATAACTGTGTTTTCTAAAGCTTGGCTTTGGTGATTAAGGTGATGTAGCAGGTAGAATTTTAAATATCACTTAAGCAAATGCAACAATTGTAAAAAAAAAAATAATATTCTTCCATTCCAGAAAGAATTGAAATCAAGGACTAAAACAGATATATATAAAGTAGTCACAACTCAGTATTCACAAGTGGAAAGCAACAGAGTATATATCAAGAAATGAATGGTGTGATGGTTCATTTTATGTGTCAATCTGTGTCACAGGATATCCAGATATTTGATTAAACATTATTCCAGAAATGTTGATGTGGGTATTACTGGACAAAACATTTGATTTTGATATAGTAAGTAAAGCAGAGTCTCTCCACAATCCAATCCTATAAAAGCCTAAAAACGAGGAAAATACAGGGGAAATGCATTGTCTCTGCCTATCTCTGTTAAGACACCAGTTTTGTTCTGCTTTCAGACTCAAATGGTCTCCCCCTTATGCTGCAGGATAGAACCATACTACCAGCTGCCTTGGATTTGCCCACTGCAGATCTTGACATTTCTCAACTTTTATTATCATATGGGCCAATCCTGTATAGCAAATCTCTTCCTATATGCATACACACACACACACACACACACACACAGTTTGTTTCTCTATAAAACTATGGCTGATATAAATGGATGAACCAAATATGGTATAGACATACAATAAAATATTATTCTCCCTGAAAAAGGAAGGGTATGCTGATGTATTTATCATGCATGATTCTACACACAAGAAACACAAATATTGTATGCTTCCACATATACGGGGCATCTAGAATAATTAAATTCATACACAGAAAAAGGAGAATGGTATTTCTAAGAGGATGGAGATGAAAAATCATTGTTTAATACAGTTTAATAGAGTTTAGTAATTGTTTAATACAGTTTAAATTTTAAAAGGCAGAAAGATTTCTGGAAATGGAGGGTGGTGATGATTACAATTTGAATGTACTTAATGCCATAGAACCATACAATTAAAGATGGCTAAGTTTGGGGGAGGGGCGGGGGAGATGGGCAGGGATGGTAAGGGGAAACAAAGGAGGAGGCGACAATGCTTGATAAGAAATGTACTCATTACCTTACCCATGTAATTGTAACCCCTCTGTATGGTATTTTCACAATTAAAAATAAAATAAGATGGCTAAGTTTATATCACACATAACTTAACATGATTAAATAAATTCCATTTTAAATCTTCATTTATTAAACCTTTAAGAGCTAAAGAATATCAAAAACATCATTGGAACTTTGTTTGGAGCCAAAATATATTGAATTTTTATTATTCCCATTCTCCTTAAACTGGAAATCTGAACAATATATGTGAATCAACAGTTTTTCAAAGGTTAGACAAAAAGCAGACAGAACTATAAGAAACAAATGACATAAAACCCTTGATTAACCTCCCTTTATTATCTGGAAACAGTTGAAAGCACAATAGGAAGGAGAAACAAAAACAAAAAAATTCAAGACGCCTAAATTAAAGACACCTTAATAACTCAAGGTGGCTGGGCTCAGGAGTACAGAATGAGAGCAAAAGAAACTGGTTAGAGAAAGACAGAGAGTGAGAATGAGAGAGAGAGACAGAGACACAGAGACAGACAGAAACAGAGACAGAGACAGAGAGAGAACTGAACACAGCCACAAAAGGATTGTACCCTGTCTAACTATTTACCTATGGCATCAATGCAAAATAACCAGGCACACAAACAAGCATAGAATTATAATACACAAGCAAAGAGAAGAAATCAATTAATAAACTAGAAATGATAAAAATGAACAATTAACAGGAAAGGTAATTCAACATCGACTTCAATTAATCTACAAATAATTAGAAAATGAACATAAAGTTTTCATATTCAAAGAAACACAGTTTCAAAAGTTTTTTAAGATCTTAAATTAATAGCAAAACAATTACAAAAGTAGTAAACTTTAAGATCTAATAACAAATTATATAAGACCACAGAAGAAACTAATAGCAAAAAATGTCAAATGACTTGTAAAGAAATGTCAGGTCATCTAAAATAAAACATTAAAGACCCCGCTTTTTAAAAATCAACATAGGAGGGATATTAGGAATTGAGAAAAATATTTTAATCATTTTCACAAACACAATGAATAAGCAGAATAAACACTGACACAATTAAACAAAAGTATGTCCCAATTCCAGAAGATACTGTGCTATATCTCTCATATAAAATCCTACAAGTAGATAAAAAATCAATTAAAATAAGTCAATTACATACAGAGAAATAAAGATAATAAGAACAGAAGGCATTTCTGAAGAAATCCAAACCAGAAGAAAAAGGAATAATATATATTCAACAGGAAGGAAGGAAGGAAGGAAGGAAGGAAGGAAGGAAGGAAGGGAGGGAGGGAGGGAGGGAGGGAGGGAG